AAAAAACCAAAAGTGTAGTGTGAAAAAAGACAGGAGACGGTCTTTGACAAATCTGATATTAAAAAGAAAAACTAAAAGAATGTCCCCTGAAATAGATCCAATGTCATTCACGATGTCCACTGCCGACCCGAAATTAAAAAGAAAAAAAAAGGCTCCGCTCCCGATGATGGCTCCCGACAGTTCTTAAATATGTAAGGGGCTCTGGGGGGATCTGGGGGCCCCTTTGCTAAAGCTTCCAGATTCCAATAAGCCCCCTGCCCGCAGACCCTCACAACCATAGCCCAGCACAGCCTAAATTTATGACAAAATTTAATTTTTTACATTTTTTTACTGGATATGTTTTATAGCAAAAAGTCAAAAATATTGTTTTTTTTCTCAGAAACAATTGAGTACTGTCTGTGATACTTTTTTTATTTGCACTAACAAATAAGTGTCCCCTTCTTCAAGGTCCAAGCAGTAACTATACAAATCACAAAGTTTTAGCAGAATGTTAGAAGAGATGAAAAAAACAGGCTAGAGATAAGACACAGCAAAAGCAAAGGGGGGGGGGGGAAGACAACACTCACACAGAGGGAGTCAAACTTGAGCTGATAGTCATAAAACTGTTGGGTAATGAGTGAGGAATCCCATGTCCAAATTCAGGCCGTTATCTCTTGTGTCAAATAGAATTATCATTCTTAGTTCAAAAGATTTTCTTTCCTGAATGGATTTGAAATTTCCTTTAATAACTAAAATATTGAGGTCTCCCATTGTGTGACCTGGTTGTGCGAAATGGTGTCCCACAGGTGTGCAGAAGTCATCTTCTTTATGTTCCTTGATGGTATGTCTGTGCAAATTGTTTCTCAAAAATTGTGTTTTTTTTCTCATAATTGTCGGTCCTTTTTTTTTTAGCACATCTATAGTATCTATACCGTCATTTGTAGACGCTATAACTTTTATGTAAACCAATTAATTTACACATATTGGGATTTTTTTTATAGCAAAGACATGTAGCGGAATATGTTTTGGCCTAAATTTATGGTGAAATTTGATTTTTTTATTTTTTTACTGGACATGTTTAATAGCAAAAGGTCAAAAACAATTGTTTTGTTCTCAAAATTGTCGGTCTTTTTTTTTTTTGTGCAAAATATGAATGCTTACCCACATTAAGAGATATCATAGTTAAAAGTGTCCCTGATCCACCTACTATAAGGATCACCTTTTTGGACCAAACGGGTTTCTACAAATGTGTTATATGTACCCTGTAAGCAGGACCATAGAAAGATCACCCGTTTTCAATCCAATATCTGCATTGTATATCAGAGAGAGTACCAAGATGGCGGAGAACTGACTTCAAGTTGGGGATACCAAGATGGCCGACGCTATACATTCAGCCGAACTACTTTTGGATTGGGTGTAGGAGGTGGAGATTTACCATATAAATGAATCCACGGACCTATGCCTCTGAGGATGCCCAGTGGGAGGGGTGAAATGCATCAGGCACGGACCTGGGGATACTATTATTATACAGGATTTATATAGCGCCAACAGTTTTGCTCAGCACTTTACAATATAATGGGAGACAATACAGCAACAATACAGTTCAATAAAGAGGGTTAGGAGGGCCCTGCTCCTTGGAGCTTACAATCCAAGAGGAGGGGCTAGTGGTACAAAAGGTAGTATTAACTGTGGGGGATGGACTGGTGGGAGGAGTAGAAGAATTCCATTATTAGCTGAGTTCGGGATAGGCTTCCCTGAAGAGAGAGGTTTTCAGAGATCTCCAAGTGAGCAGAGTAGGCGATAGTCTGATAAATTGGGGTAGAGAGTTCCAGAGGATGGGGGACGCTCTGGAGAAGTCCTGGAGACGAGCATGGGATCCCTAGAAAAAGTCCAGGAAGTGACGAAAAGTGCGATTGCGGCCATTTTGGAAGTTAGAACATGCGGTGGTTCCCATACTGTGAATAGCTGTCTCTGTGGAAGCTGATTTCTGCTTTTTTTTAAATGTAAGTTACTCAATAAATGTTGTTTACTTGTTACACCATCATCTCTAAAACCCTGATTTATTTCATGAGGATAATGGAGGAGATATATCAAGACTAATTAGGAGCCTGGAGAGTCTTTTCCATCCATTTGAGAAGTACCTGTTTGCTACTGGCATTTGGTAATTATTCACTTTTACACCAGTTGGAGTGGAAAATGTTTGGTACTTATTCTTGCACGATATATTAAGAAATAAGGATTATATCCTTTTGTTAGAATTGGCTTGGAAGGTTGATCACTTTTATGTTGAGTGGATTTTTACACAATTTGGAAGTGAATCACTATTGATTGCTAGTGTTTGCTTTTACTATTTAGTGTATCCATGTGGGTATTTTGATACACTATATTACATTGGTTGGAGAGTATATATTAATTTTTTTTTTTCTTTCTTTTCTCTTCACATGTGTATTGCACTTGTTATGCAGTTTGCGCAATTCAAAATTTGTGGCATCTTATTTACAGGTGAAACTCGAAAAAATTAGAATATCGTGCAAAAGTTCATTTATTTCAGTAATGCAACGTAAAAGGTGAAACTAATATATGAGATACTCATTACATGCAAAGCAAGAAATTTCAAGCCGTGATTTGTCATAATTGTGATGATTTATGGTTTACAGCTCATGAAAACCCCAAATCCACAATCTCAGAAAATGAGAATATTCCATGCAATCAATACAAGGATTGTACATAGAACAATATCGGACCTCTGAAAAGTAGAAGCTGCATATGTACTCAGTACTTGGTTTGGGCCCCTTTTGCAGCAGTTACTGCCTCAATGCGGCGTGGCATGGAAGCTATCAGCCTGTGGCACTGCTGAGGTGTTATGGAAGACCAGGATGCTTCAATAGCGGCCTTCAGCTCTTCTGCATTGTTCCGTCTCATGTCTCTCATCTTTCTCTTGGCAATGCCCCATAGATTCTCTATGGGGTTCAGGTCAGGTGAGTATGCTGGCCAATCAAGCACAGTAATCCCACGGTCATTGAACCAGGTTTTGGTGCTTTTGGCAGTGTGGGAGGTGCCAAGTCCTGCTGGAAAATGAGGTCAGCATCCCCATAAAGCTCGTCTGCAGAAGGAAGCATGAAGTGCTCCAAAATCTCCTGGTAGGCGGCTGCGTTGACCCTGGACTTAATGAAGCACAGTGGGCCAACACCAGCAGATGACATGGCTCCCCAAATCAACACAGACTGTGGAAACTTCACACTGGACTTCAAGCATCTTGCAGTGTGTGCCTCTCCATTCTTCCTCCATACTCTGGGTCCTTGGGCCTCTCCATTCTTCCTCCATACTCAGGGTCCTTGGGCCTCTCCATTCTTCCTCCATACTCTGGGTCCTTGGGTCTCTCCATTCTTCCTCCATACTCGGGGTCCTTGGGCCTCTCCATTCTTCCTCCATACTCTGGGTCCTTGGGCCTCTCCATTCTTCCTCCATACTTGGGGTCCTTGGGCCTCTCCATTCTTCCTCCATACTCGGGGTCCTTGTGCCTCTCCATTCTTCCTCCATACTCGGGGTCCTTGGTTTCCAAATGAGATGCAAATGTTGCTCTCATCAGAAAAAAGGACTTTGGACCACTGAGCAACAGACCAGGTCTGTTTTTCTTTAGCCCAGGTAAGACGCTTCTGACGTTTCTTGTTCAGGAGCGTCTTGACAAGATGAATACGACATTTGAAGCCCATGTCCAGGATCCGTCTGTGTGTGGTGGCTCTTGATGCACTGACTCCAGCCTCAGTCCACTCCTTGTGAAAGTCCCCAACACTTTTGAATGGCCTTTTCCTGACAATCCTCTCCAGGCTGCGGTGATCCCTGCTGCTTGTGCACCTTTTTCTTCCACACTTTTCCCTTCCACATAACTTTCTATTAATGTGCTTTGATAGAGCACTTTGGGAACATCCAACTTCTTTTGCAATTCCCTTTTGAGGCTTTCCCTCCTTATGGAGGGTGTCAATGATGGTTTTCTGCACAACTGTCAGGTCAGCAGTCTTTCCCATGATTGTGATTCCTACTGAACCAGACAGAGACCATTTAAAGGCTCAGGAACCCTTTGCAGGTGTTATGGCTTAATTATCTGATTAGAGTGGGACACTTTGAGCCGAGAATATTGCACCTTTTCACAATATTCTCATTTTCTGAGATTGTGGATTTGGGGTTTTCATGAGCTGTAAGCCATAATCATCACAATGATGACAAATCACGGCTTGAACTATCTTGCTTTGCATGTAATGAGTCTATCTCATATATTAGTTTCACCTTTTAAGTTGCTGCGCTGAAATAAATGAACTTTTGCACAATATTCTAATTTTTCAAGTTTCACCTGTATATGAAAGGTAATACACTATTTTGAGTTTTATTTTTTTGAGGTACACGAAAATCCAGAATACACCTACGTGGGATAAAATAAAGAGATACGTTTATTATTGAAGGATAAAGAGACTTATTATAGAAGACTTTTATTAATTTATTTACTTGTTGAGGACATTTACATGGTTAGGACACGAATTGTGATTTATTATTTTAGTTATTTATGAGTTGAGAAAAGTTGTGTTATCACTTGAGCATGGGAGGAGGAGACCAGGGAGCTAGACAGCAGGAGGTCGTGCGATTTGTGGAGAGTACGGCTTAGGAGCTTTGTGGAATACTAGCGACCTACTATTGTACACTTGGAGATTCATGCCTGTTGTATCTGGAAACATGTCAGTGCAATACCAGAGGGTCTGCTTTTACTAATAAATGGAATGATACTATTCTGGATGCCTCTCTCCATTCCTTACATGTATATATCCATCGGTGCTATATTCATACGTGTATGAATACACATATGTGTATGTATGAATTTGAATCACTGGGAACGACAAGCAACATTTGATCAGGAGGACTACAATTTGGGGGATATCTGTACTGTTCTGAATTTGGGGGGTATCTGTACCGTCCTGACATTTGGGGGATATCTGTACTGTTCTGAATTTTGGGGGTATCTGTACCGTCCTGACATTTGGGGGATATCTGTACCATCCTGACATTTGGGGGATATCTGTACCGTCCTGACATTTGGGGGATATCTGTACCGTTCTGACATTGGGGGGATATCTGTACTGTCCTGACATTTGGGGGATATCTGTACCATCCTGACATTTGGGGGATATCTGTACTGTCCTGACACTGGGGGGATATCTGTACCGTTCTGACATTGGGGGGATATCTGTACCGTTCTGACATTTGGGGGATATCTGTACCGTCCTGACATTTGGGGGATATCTGTACCGTTCTGACATTTGGGGGATATCTGTACCGTCCTGACATTGGGGGGATATCTGTACCGTTCTGACATTTGGGGGATATCTGTACCGTCCTGACATTTGGGCCTTTAGACATTTAGATTGGCTGTCAGTACTTCAGGATTGATCAATATTCAGATCTATCCATAGTTTGTGAACTCTATAACTTTCCTACAAACTAAATAATACATCCTAATTTGGGTTATTATCACCAAAGACATGTAGCAGAATACATCTCGGCCTAAATTTATGAAGAACAATTATTTGCAAACTTTTAGAAGCAAGGAAAAATGTGTTTTTCAGACATTTTTTTTTTTTTCAGTCTTTTTTTGTTAATTTAGCAAACAATAAAAACCCCAGCGGTGATTAAATACCACCAAAAGAAAGCTCTAGTTGTGTGAAGAAATGATAAAATTTTAGTTTGGGTACAATGTTGTATGACCGCGCAATTGTCATTCATAGTGTGAGAGCGCTGAAACCTGAACATTGGCCATGCTGGGCAGGAAGGGGGGGGGGCAGTGTCCGGTAGGCGAGGGGTTAACAATCTTTTTTTTGGCACAATTATCGTTTAAGAGGGTGTGGCAGGGGGCGTATCCTATGCTATATACTTCTGCCAATAGGTGTCCTTCGTTTCCATGTCGGAAAGTTGGGCGGAATGGGGGCGGTGACAGTGCTGACCAGACCGCCTACATCCAGCCCCTAGAATTTAGAAACTGAAAGTAGAAAACCTTCCCCCCCCCCCCCCCCCCCCACACACACACCGACAGGGCTGACACTAGGTTCCGAAAGTAATAGCACCCTGTCAGCGGCTATGGGAGGAGGACAGAGCGACCAAGCGGTGAGTGTCAGACCGACCGAGACCCCGCTCCTTCCCGGGCAGCCTGGCTCGGAGTGACTGACAGGACTCGGGTGGGATGGAGGGGAGGTTTCCATGGTAACGGCCGGCTTCGGAGGGGGGAGGGTGTGTCCGCAGAGCATCCTACTCGGGTGCTCCCTACTGGCAGGCCGGGGAGGAGAGCCGGGACCCCCGGCTAGGCTAGGATGGTAATGATGGATGACATGGAGGGATGGCAATGATGGATGACATGGAGGGATGACATGGATGGGATGGTAATGATGGATGACATGGAGGGATGACATGGATGGGATGGTAATGATGGATGACATGGAGGGATGACATGGATGGGATGGTAATGATGGATGACATGGAGGGATGACATGGATGGGATGGTAATGATGGATGACATGGAGGGATGACATGGATGGGATGGTAATGATGGATGACATGGATGGGATGGTAATGATGGATGACATGGATGGGATGGTAATGATGGATGACATGGAGGGATGACATGGATGGGATGGTAATGATGGATGACATGGAGAGATGACATGGATGGGATGGTAATGATGGATGACATGGAGGGATGACATGGATGGGATGGTAATGATGGATGACATGGATGGGATGGTAATGATGGATGACATGGATGGGATGGTAATGATGGATGACATGGATGGATGGGATGGCAATGATGGATGACATGGAGGGATGACATGGATGGGATGGTAATGATGGATGACATGGAGGGATGACATGGATGGGATGGTAATGATGGATGACATGGATGGGATGGTAATGATGGATGACATGGATGGGATGGCAATGATGGATGACATGGAGGGATGACATGGATGGGATGGTAATGATGGATGACATGGAGGGATGACATGGATGGGATGGTAATGATGGATGACATGGATGGGATGGTAATGATGGATGACATGGATGGGATGGTAATGATGGATGACATGGATGGGATGGTAATGATGGATGACATGGATGGGATGGCAGTGATGGATGACATGGAGGGATGACATGGATGGGATGGTAATGATGGATGACATGGAGGGATGACATGGATGGGATGGTAATGATGGATGACATGGATGGGATGGTAATGATGGATGACATGGATGGGATGGTAATGATGGATGACATGGATGGGATGGTAATGATGGATGACATGGATGGGATGGTAATGATGGATGACATGGATGGGATGGCAATGATGGATGACATGGATGGGATGGTAATGATGGATGACATGGATGGGATGGTAATGATGGATGGACATGGATGGGATGGCAATGATGGATGACATGGAGGGATGACATGGATGGGATGGTAATGATGGATGACATGGAGGGATGACATGGATGGGATGGTAATGATGGATGACATGGATGGGATGGTAATGATGGATGACATGGATGGGATGGTAATGATGGATGACATGGATGGGATGGTAATGATGGATGACATGGATGGGATGGTAATGATGGATGACATGGATGGGATGGCAATGATGGATGACATGGAGGGATGATATGGATGGGATGGCAATGATGGATGACATGAATGGATGGGATGGCAATGATGGATGACATTGGATGGATGGGATGACAATGATGGATGACATGGATGGATGGGGATGACAATGATGGATGACATGGATGGGATGACAATGATGGATGACATGGATGGATGGGATGACAATGATGGATGACATGGATGGATGGGATGACAATGATGGATGACATGGAGGGATGACATGGATGGGATGGCAATGATGGATGAGATGGAGGGATGACATGGATGGATGGGATGGCAATGATGGATGACATGGATGGATGGGATGGCAATGATGGATGGCATGGAGGGATGGGATGGCAATCATAGATGACATGGAGGGATGACATGAATGGATGGGGATGGTAATGATGGATGAGATGGAGGGATGACATGGATGGATGGATGACAATGATGGATGACATGGATGGATGGGATGGCAATGATATGATGACATGGAGGGATGACATGGATGGGATGGCAATGATGGATGAGATGGAGGGATGACATGGATGGATGGGATGGCAATGATGGATGACATGGATGGATGGGATGGCAATGATGGATGACATGGAGGGATGGGATGGCAATGATGGATGGACATGGATGGATGGATGGCAATGATGGATGGCATGGAGGGATGGGATGGCAATGATAGATGACATGGAGGGATGACATGAATGGATGGGATGGTAATGATGGATGAGATGGAGGGATGACATGGATGGATGGGATGGCAATGATGGATGACATGGATGGATGGGATGGCAATGATGGATGACATGGATGGATGGGATGGCAATGATGGATGACATGGAGGGATGACATGGATGGGATGGTAATGATGGATGACATGGATGGATGGGATGGACAATGATGGATGACATGGATGGATGGGATGACAATGATGGATGGACATGGATGGATGGGATGACAATGATGGATGGACATGGATGGATGGGATGGACAATGATGAATGATGGATGGATGGGATGACAATGATGGATGACATGGATGGATGGGATGACAATGATGGATGACATGGAGGGATGACATGGATGGGATGGCAATGATGGATGAGATGGAGGGATGACATGGATGGATGGGGATGGCAATGATGGATGACATGGATGGATGGGGGCAATGATGGATGGCATGGAGGGATGGGGATGGCAATGATAGATGACATGGAGGGATGACATGGATGGGGATGGCAATGATGGATGAGATGGAGGGATGACATGGATGGATGGGATGGTAATGATGGATGGATGGAGGGATGACATGGATGGATGGGATGACAATGATGGATGACCATGGATGGATGGGATGGCAATGATAGATGACATGGAGGGATGACATGGATGGGATGGCAATGATGGATGAGATGGAGGGATGACATGGATGGATGGGATGGCAATGATGGATGACATGGAGGGATGGGATGGCAATGATGGATGGCATGGAGGGATGGGATGGCAATGATAGATGACATGGAGGGATGACATGAATGGATGGGATGGTAATGATGGATGAGATGGAGGGATGACATGGATGGATGGGATGGCAATGATGGATGACATGGGATGGATGGGATGGCAATGATGGATGACATGGATGGATGGGATGGCAATGATGGATGACATGGAGGGATGACATGGATGGGATGGTAATGATGGATGACATGGAGGGATGACATGGATGGGATGGTAATGATGGATGACATGGATGGATGGGATGGCAATGATGGATGACATGAGGGATGACATGGATGGGATGGTAATGATGGATGAGATGGAGGGATGGCAATGATGGATGACATGGATGGATGGGATGGCAATGAGGGATGGCAATGATGGATGGGATGGCAATGATGGATGACATGGATGGATGGGATGGCAATGATGGATGACATGGAGGGATGGCATAGATGAGATGGAGGGATGACATGGATGGATGGGATGGCATGCAGCACTTCTGCCTGGCAGTACTCAAGTCGTTGGTTTGAATCCCAGCCAAGGCACCACCTGCCTGGAGTTTGCATGTTTTCCCTGTGCCTGCATGTGTTTCCTCCGGGTTCTCTGGTTTCCTCCCACATTAACCTACATGCTGGTATGTTAATTGGCTCCTGTCTGAATTGGCCCCAGTATGTGTATGTATGTGAGTTAGAGACCTTAACCCCTTCAATACCGGGCACGTTTACCCCCTTCCTGCCCAGGCCAATTTTCAGGTTTCAGCGCTCTCACACTTTGAATGACAATTTGGCTAGCGGTCATGCAACATTGTACCCAAACTAAAATTTTATCATTTTCTTCACACAACACTAGAGCTTTCTTTTGGTGGTATTTAATCACCGCTGGGGTTCTTATTTTTTTCTAAATTAACAAAAAAGGACCAAAAATTTTGAACAAAAAAAAGTTTTTCTTTGTTTCTGTTATAAAAAGTTTACAAATAAATAATTGTTCTTCATAAATTTAGGGCCGAGATGTATTCTGCTACATGTCTTTGGTGAAAATAACCAAATTAGGATGTATTATTTAGTTTGTAGGAAAGTTATAGAGTTCACAAACTATGTTTTTATAGATCTGAATATTGATCAATCCTGAAGTACTGACAGCCAATCTAATTTTTTGAGGTCCAAGATGTCAGAACAGTACAGATATCCCCCAAATGTCAGAACGGTACAGATATCCCCCAAATGTCAGGACAGGTACAGATATCCCCCAAATGTCAGGACGGTACAGATATCCCCCAAATGTCAGGACGGTACAGATATCCCCCAGTGTCAGGACGGTACAGATTATCCCCAAATGTCAGGACGGTTACAGATATCCCCCCAAATGTCAGGACGGTACAGATATCCCCCAAATGTCAGGACGGTACAGATATCCCCCAA